GGAAAAGGGGAAGAATTTGGAAGTAAAATTGAACAAATGTTGAAACAAACAAGAAAATTTCAATGCTCACCCCAATGTGTGCATCTATTTTTGCCCCTGTGAATTTGACTATTTACATCATATCTTGTCAATGATAGAAATTTGTGTCACTGCAATGCACCATTTAATCATGTTGTGATGCTTGGTTCAAACAGTGTCCGCCCTGGGTACATATTTATGTACCCAAAGACTAACTTGTAATATATAACCAATTTCAGAAACATAATTACATGAACCAAAGTTTAGAAAACATATGTAACATGTACTAAACCATATATATCTTAATTACATATACACATACAGTTAAAATAATATGTGGTATGTAATAAAATATCATTCACACCTCATAACTCAACGTCAAGAGTTAAAAAGCTTATATTACATATTACACATAACATGTATATGTAATTAAGTATTATCAGTAATAATCCCAAATAATAATGATAATCAAACCCAAAACCAAAGTAGGGATGTAAACAAATCTCACCACTGTTAGGTTTGGAGAGGAGAGTATATAAGCCCCTCCTCTCTTAGCCTCGAGAGATTTCCCCCCAAGCTTTTATTACACACTACTTTTAAAAACAATTAAAGTTCTACTGAATTAAATATCAAGAGTCTTATAAATATAAGACTAGTGATATCTTCACTACTTTAATCTGTTCCCTGATTAAAAGTAAGTAATACTCTTCACCTTTCTCATCCCTAAGTACAACCTCCATAGGTTGGTGACCATGTAACAACCCAAGGTTGGTGACCATATAACAACCCAGGTTGGTGACCATAGAATAACCCAAGGCTGGTGACCATAAGAACAACCCAGGTTTGGGGAGCGTAGGCGTATCAGTCTGCACGGGAGACAAGAGATTACAAGAGACTACCAAGAGACTATGTACCAACTGAGTACCGAGACAACACAACCCGGTATCCACCAGGAGAACAATTGGATCCAAATTGCAACTTGATCAATCTACACATATAGATCATGATCATTCATCATCAACCTCAACTTCACGCTTTTCAATTTTACTATCAACTTCAAGCCATCAAAACGACGTATCATGAGTCAAGCAGATACTACACTTTCTATCTCGACTATCAATCATTAGATCAATACTATACTTTTCAATTTGACTATCAATCATTTAGACACATCTAACATTCCTTTTAGGCAATCAAAACAACATCAAAAGGATTTGAATCAGATACTAAACCCAAATTGAATTCTATCAATAAGACCAAAGGGAATCTCTCGACATTCACAATTGATGATTTGTACTATGACACAGTCTTGTTTTAGTGTCTTTCTTCTTACTTCTCCTACGGTGATTCTCTTTCAATTTTTTTTAATCGGTCTTGTCCTTTTCTTTTTGTTCACCGTACATACAGATCAGATATTTTTATTCATTACCAAAAACAAAAAGACAAGTCTCTTTGATCTACTTCACAAAAGGTTTTTGTGAGAAACACAATCAATCACCTCTAGTAGTCAAAAAATCCAGCCGTTTGTGATAAAGTTGAATCAGACAAAACTTGATAAATTAAAGTTCAATGTGGAGATTTTCCCATATCCCTGGAATTGATTTCAATCACATTTCTTGCAAGTCATGATGGTGAAAAGAATGAAGCTGAAGGAAGTGAGTGAGCACAAGAAGTACGAGACCGACAAATGCCTGCAAAATTCAAATTCTTGGATTGAATAAAACAGGCTGTACAGCCCAAGCTGTACAAGGCCTGTCCCTGTTGTCTCCCGTAAAGACTGATACGGCTACTCTCCTCAGGTTTGTGACCATAGAACAACTAGTCTAGTGAACTTGAAATCAGTCTTGAATCTGTCAACTTGAAGATTAAAGGAAGGACTAGGATCCATCCTTCACCTTTTATAATTGTATCTCATCACAGGGGCCAAAATAGATACTCACATACATGTGAGCGTTGTAGACTTTTTGGAATTCTCCAAAAAAGATTCATTTTCTTTCAGATTGATTCAATTCACAATCTTGTTTGTGTTCAGGTGATCATCCTGTGGTTCTCATATTTTACTTGACATTTATTGAGAAGGCTCATTTCCATCTTGGATGAGCAATAACTGATTCCCAATGAGTACTCAGGATCAGCTCATGAGTCACTGAATACTCAGTAATTTGTTCAAAATGAAGATGAGCACATGAACTATACCTTCCTGAGGCTTCATTTTTCAGTGAAGAAGCCTGCCCAGGGGCGTCCCATTTGAGCTGCTCAGCAAATACTCAGTAGCATCCCCTGACTGGATCACTGATGGGCCGGACTTTCCTCAGACTTCCTTGCTAAGGAATGAAGCCTGATAAAAGTGTCATCCCATCTGCTCATTGCTCAGCTAAACCTCAGTGATATCCCTGGATAAAGTTTTTCACACTGAGGGGCTGAGATCAACTGAGCAGCCCCTCAGCCAATACTCAGTGACATCCTTTAGATCCTTCTGATCCGTCCAGGAATGCCCCTGAGGACTAGCTGAGCAGCTGAGCAGAACTGAGCAGCCCCTCATCCAATGAGCAGTGAAATCCTCCGGATCCTCCTGATCTCAGGGATGCCCCCGAGGAATAACTGAGCAGCTCATTTGAACGAGCAGACAGGCCTCAGGCTTCATTCCGGAGCCATCAAGCTTGAGGCAAGCTTGGCGTTCTGTGATCCGTCTGGGGGATACTTCAGAGACTTAGCTAAGGGAATACTCAGTTCAGCTCAGCCCCTAAGCTATACATTGGTGGCATCCCTTGGAACTTACTGAACCAGGGAATGCCGCTCAAGATCAGCTGAGCAGATGGATCAGCCCATCCTCAGACTTCTTTGCTCAGGAATAAATGCTGAGGAAGGCTTAGTTTGTCTGCTCAGTTCCTGATGATCACGTAATCAGCTGACAAACAGAAAGAAAAGGGAAACAAATTGGAAACAAATGGGAAACAATTGGGAACAAAACAGGAACATTTCAACACTCACATAGTTGTGAGCATCAATTTTTGCCCCTGTGCATCATTATCCTTTCCCCCTCTCTCTGTTTCTTTTCTTAACTCTTTTTAAACACTTTTACATTTGCAATATAATCCTATTTACATAAATCATAAGATCCTACTTGCCCCATTAGTGAGCATTGAGTACTCAAGAGAGCACCCAACCCTCACAAAGTAGGTCACCCAATGATTGCAATTTCCTTCAATATACCTTGCAATTCGTCACAAATTGGAATCACTGCCAATTCTCAACAGGATGTGCTACCCCGACTTGCTGCACAAAAAATGGACACCATAGTGCAAAATGAAGCAAGAAGCAACACCAATACAGCAGCGCTAGCGTAGGGTTAACATGACTCTTCACACATATCTATCTGATAGGTCTGCGGGGATTCTGCAGTTACGCTCTTGTATTGTTGTAACAGATTCTTTCCAGAAAAGTTACATTAGCACCAAGGTTTACAGTTTTTTTTTCTTAAGCTACACATCAGCCCCACATATTGTTACCATAGCCCTGTTGTGGGTAAGGGAAAGCAGGGGCTTGATTGTACCAATTCAGCATCTGTACCACACTCCATCAACCACCACCACCCAATCAAGACAGATCAGTATCAAGCAATAGACGCGAGGGGGGGCACAGCCCTTCTTGGAAATATGTAGTTCAATGGCGAGTCCAAAATATAATTACACAGTGCACTTCAAATCTTACTATTCTGATTCCTATCGATCAATTCATCACTCAATTAACTGTTGACATTTATATCCTTTCCTTGTAACTTCTATTCAGCTAACCCTCTCTCTCTCTCTCATTAACATTCATCGAGCGACTGAGTCAAAAGTACAGTTGTGAGACAATAGACTTCCAAATTGGTTCATGAACTTTTGAGACTTTTCAATAGTATCCTCTATGATCAACTCAATCTCAGTAGCAGTGTGATTCCATCAGGAATCTTCATTGTATTGGTAGGTCTTGCAAATGAAAATGTAAATTTATATTGATGGTTTGAATAATGCCGGCATTGAGGTAGTACTGAACAGGTGGTTTGAAGTAAATGAGAGAGAATGCTAGTAGAGACAATCAAAGATTGACACCTATTACAATTGGAAGTGACCTTGATTCACAATTCATCAAAGTGTGTTGCATCACTTCAAATTCTCAAATCTCCAAAGCAATTGATCAAGCCTACTTATCACAACACACCCTAAATCACTTTCTTCTCCTGAACAATTTCATCTCAATCATTATGCATGTTGAGGATGGACTCCTAGGGGAGACAAAGTTGTCACAAACAATGCTGAATTCATCATAGTTAAGGATTTCTTATATTTTTTCTAATCTTATGTTTCTTTTGTCTTTCTTTGTTATTTTTCATTTCATACTTTTTCAGTTTCTTCTTTTGTATTTTCTCTTTCTATACATATTTTTTATCTTTTCTCTCAGAATGTATATTTTTCAACTTTGGGAACATAACTTTGTAAAAAGAGGTTTGATAGCGTGCAAAAGTATAGATAATGTAGCGCTAAGCGCCACAAACCAACCTTGAGATAGCGTGTCAGAACAATATCAGTTACGCTATCTTGGGTGTAACACTAACAGGCATGTTATCCATCGGGAAATTTTCCCAATAACTGCTACAGCTACGCAGCACACAACCGGCCAGTTTGCGCTGTTTTGCGCTGCTGTCTTGGTGTTGCAAGAAGATCTTTAGACAACTAGGAGTGAATTCCCAAAGAAACAATCTCATGGGGTTTTAAAAATGTGGACTAGACTGAAAAGTCAGACATTCAATATAAGATGAAGTTTGTACAAATGGAGTGAGTTACAAAGTATATTCAATCTTATCAGGACATGTGAAAGAAAGTCTGAGATTTTGAACAACTCGTATATGCCTTTCCTCTGATACATGTGTTTAATTTTGTTTGGATGTCTTCAGTCTACTATTGACAGCCACTTCTTCAAGGCTGATCACCTGCCAGAGCTCACTTATGGTTCTCGATATCTGCTTTCACTTCACGCCTGATTATCCACAAAACAAATGTTAGTCAAGATATCTGCAAGGATAAATTGAAGAGGGGGTCTCTTACTTTGGACATTTAAATTGGTCTCTAAGGCAGCATAATGCAGCAGCAGCACAACCAGCAATCACCACCAAACCTCCTCCTATTATATATTTGAACACATGGTTGTCAGATGAATCATCACTTTGGCTTGATGATGGTACAGTCGATTGGCTCGATGATGGTACAGTCAATGGATCCTCTGAGCCTGGTGGTGCGTAAGTCCAAGTCCAAGCCTGCAGGTTTCTATCATTATGGGTAGTACCAGATAGAGTTCCATACTCCTGTTCTGCCTGTGCTTTCATTTGGGCTGCATATTCCAATTTCTGATTGATTCCTTGAGTGGTGAGTGGGTAGACCACACCAGTTGATCCAGAATATTCTGGGCCAGCTAATTCAGTTTTCCTGGCGGAGCTGGCCATATCAAGTTGAGGGATCACATGACCAGAAGCAGTGTGATCCATCAACATATTGATTGTAACAAAGATCTGTTGAAATCTCATCTTGGGTGGGCTGTTAAATATATAGAAGAAATCAGCACTCAATATTGATTATGTCTAATGCCTTTAACCAATATAATAGATTAGGTATCAAAAAAGGGAAAGTACCAAAGTTCTCTTGAGATACAAAGATATAGGTGGATTGATAGGGAACAATCATCTTTGTGTACTAGCAGAAAGATATAGGGTGTATGAAGGTTTTAGGACATGCCTCAGGGAGAGAATATTAGGGATATAAGGGAATTCAATATCTCATGACTGCTTAAACAGTGAAAGAGCATTGATATATATATTGTAAGGATAGGAAGACAGCAGAATTTCAGGAAAACTCAAAAGTACTCACCAAAAACAATACTTGTAGCTGGAACTTGTATGAATTGAGCTCTAATTTCACTGGGATTATATAGCTGTAGTAAAAGAGATTATCAATGACTACTACAAAGCTGAGAAGGAAGGAAGCAATTTTGGCCTTGAGGATATGCTGCTGAGTGAGAAATTGGTAAACTCTTTATAGTTATGAAATATGACACAACAATCTCCCCACCAACACGCGGCGACCTGTTGAAACATTGTTTTCAAGGGAATAAGCCCAACAAAGAGAGCTTCCACCACACATACACGTGAATTGATCATATTTTATTACAAACTTTTACTCAATATGCTATCACAAGATACACCCAACTTTTCATCACCTTTTGATTCGAGTTTGAGTGTTGATAAGCACATATCATTTGTGAAGAATGATATGTAAATATTTTTCTGGCACCTTTCATCAATGTCAAAACATTTCAACATCATATGTAACTCTATATATAACTCAAATTTCAAAATTCTGAAGATGTGTTACAATCTCTTATCCAATGTGACATTTGAATCAGCCCCACACGTGCCAGATCACAATCTAGGGGGCAACGGTGTTGGAAGCTGAAAGGGACAGAAGCAAGAGAATTCAGGTCTTGATCCTGAGTGAGAAATTGGTCTAACTTGACACAAGTCCAAGGGCCTTGCTTTTTCCCTGTCCTGGATTTTGCAATGGTCTTTGTTAAGTTAGAGCATCTACAGCCATGTGCCATAGGCTGTGGTGTATGAAAATTTGGGTTATCTTTGTCCACAACCAATACCGCCACAAAAGGCGAATGCAGAGTGGCTTGATCAGCCTGTGCTACAGTCTTAGGAGTGAAGCAGGGCTGAAAGTGTTGAGATATAAGGTTATATCTGCTGGAGTTTGGTCAAAGATCATTACGATGAGCTGAAAACGGATGTTGAAGTGATGCTGTGCAGGAGTTGAACTGTAGGTGTGTGTTGTTTGTTGGATAGTTAAGCTAGGATTAAAAAGGAAAGTGGATGCATGTTAATGTGCTGGGTGATGTACTACGTGCTAGAGTAGTTGTTGAGCAAAGGGATGATTGTGTACACAGGGGTGTTTTTCTATATATACTTGTCTTTCAATTTCTCTTCGCGTGTTCTGATTCTTTTCACTGTTGAAAAGAATCAGTAAGTGATTTTCACTCTTGTTAGTTGTTTTATTCATCTTATTCACTAACAACTTTCTTATTCTATCTATATGTTCTTTCCTCTACTATCAGACTTCATTTATTGTCTTTTAATCCTCTTTCTGTGTGCTCTTCACGTCTTGTTCTGAGCTTGCAGGTAGATAGTCTTCTTTCTTTCAATTCTTTGTTTTGTGTTTCTCTGATTTCTTCTCTCTTGACTTTAGGTCAGTTTCTTTTTTAGATTTGTTGTTTACAAGCCAGAAGCTTAGTCTGATCAACATACCCTGTTGCCCTCAGGTGTGTAGACTGTCGAAAAGAATCAACTTCATTTATTGTCTGTTAATCCTATTTCTGCATGCTCTTCACGTCTTGCTCTGAGCTTTCAGGTCAGTTTCTTTTTAGAGTCGTTGTCGACAAGCCAGAAGCTTAGTCTGATCAATGTACCCTGTTGCTCTCAGGTCAGTTTCTTTTTAGAGTCATTGTCAACAAGCCAGAAGCTTAGTCTGATCAACATAACCTGTTGCCCTCAGGTATATCCTGTATCTTTTGACTAGCTTCTTAGGCATTGATCTATTCAGATCAAAACTGAACCTCTTCATGGCACACGTGTTTTATTACAGAAAGCTAAGCCTACACTTCCTTTTTGAGAATATATGTGTAGTGGAGCACAGTATATACCTAGTGGAGAGTCATCATATCTGGTTGCACCATAAGCTGTGAGACAAATTTGTAACAGATCTCATCCAAGATATTCTATATATCCATTTATACCATCTTAGGGTCAATATGGTTGCAGAGTAGCAAGGAAATGGATGAGAGCAATTCAAAGAGTATCTACAGTAGCTGCATCAGATCTCACCAAAAGAGACAAAAATTTATGTATGGTCTTTCCCTTTGGATTTATCTTGATACAGCTGGTGTGGTGATCAGTATATCATCATCATTCAAGTTAAAGGTAAACCGTGTTTGCCGGCAAAACCTGATTAAACTCCCAATCCCTACTACCAAATTCCAGGTTTAAATGTCCAAAAGATTTTAATCTGAACAGCATGCACCTCACCCCAAATGTGTTCCTCACACCTTGCATCCAGCCAATTCTTCACCACCTAACAAGTTGGAATTAGGTACGCATCTATGTCTACCCATATCCCCTCAACTCCATTCACCCTCACAATTGTATCCCATTGATCCTGATCAACCCTTCACACTTTTTCTCAAGTTGGTAGAAGACAACCTGAATCTCTTCAGGAATATCAATCCTGCTTTTGATTCATCCTCTGGCTCAATCCCTCTGTCACTCCCTTTATCACCCACCGGTCTCAAACATGCCATTCAACAACTTTCCACTGCCTCAAAAGATCCCTTTGTCAATCTCATCTCTCTAGCTTCTTCTTTTGTCATTTTGAACGATCTCAAGGGAGTCCGTCATTGATGCAATAGACTTACTCAGGAGTCTGCTACGAGTCGGACGGCATTGAGTTTGGGTGAGAGCAAGTTGAAATGACTTCAAGACCAACATGCAGCCACTGAAGATGCTGCTCAAAGTGCCAAGAAGAAATTAGATGGTGAACAAAGTTGTAACAATTGTGAATTAGATGCACAGGTACAGTGGGATTCTACTTCTCATAGTGTAGTCCAACTGGAACCAACCAAGACAAATGAAAATAGTCTCTCAGTGGAGCTCAATATACTGCTTGCGAACATCTTCCGCCACCTCTCATGAATGGTTATGATTCAATGGACATCAATATCATCTAGGAGATAGAGAATGTAAGATGTGAGAATTGGAGATGCTCAAGGAACAGTTACTGCATCGTATCCATGAGATTTATATGCTGCAACGGAAGGTATGTCTTATCCACTCTCTCTCAGTTGATATCTCTCGAGGAAGATTATTTAAATTCATATTATGTTTCTCACTTTTATTGTTTTAGTTTATTTCTATTTATGTGTGTTGTAATGCTTGTTACATGGTCACCTATTTCATCACAATGAACAAGGCTCATATCAAACTCTTGGTCGGTTTGTCCTATGCAAACCTAAAGAGTTCATCTATGAATACTCTAGGTTTCTTGGGGGGGGGCCTCAGCCCTCATGAGGGACCGAGGGAGGTAGGACACCGGTCAGAGTAGATGGAAGGGCGCTGAACGGTGGGCTAGGCAACCCCCGTCAGAGACTCTTACCACCTTGACTGTCAAGGTCCAAGACTTACATTGGCCCTACTACTTACCACACAACATCTGCATTACTTTACTGCTGCCAGAGAAACCTCTCGACTACTTACTACCATACTCCAAGCCAGTTTATCACTCAGGACGAGCTTCCATGTAACTTCACGGGTGGCGGGTGGGAGTGAAAAAAAAAGAGGGAATATGAGATAATCTGATCTCAGAGGAGATCGTGAGAGAACTGAGTGCCAAACGGATGATTCCAGATACTGGGTGAGGATAACTCTGAGGTGAGGAAGTCAAGGCGTGGGAGAGAAATTGAAATTTCCTGCAGAGGAAATTTTGCAACATTTTCTTCCTACACGCATCGTGTAATAACCACATGAGGTGTTAGTAGCATTATGCTAATAGCGTGTATGAGCGGACTCTATAGTTTTCACTCCTCTCCGTTGTACTTGATCCTCACACTGCAATCTAGTTAATAGTACCAATAGGCCTTCATCCTCTATCTCATCACATCCACCGTGTTAGTCCGGGTCATAACATATTGCAGTGTCTCACCAATCAGCGGTGGACAAGAATCGAAACTCGAAAGAAGAATAAAGAAAGGAATACGAATCAATTAAATTAGAAACTCGGAATTAGAAAGGATCTACCAAAAGTTTATTTTGACGAAGATCGGAACAACGGCGAACTTTACCGCTCCCACCGAAGAACAAGGTTCAGAAGAATCAACAGAAGCTGTATCGGCGCAAGAATCAATCTTCGACGAACTCGACGAGATGGATGCATTAAATGCTAATATAGCTAGTATACTATCTCAACTTACAAATCTGAACGCAAGATTAGATGAGGAGACAGCCCGTCACAGGGAGACTCAAAAGAAGTTAGATGAAGAAAGTGCCCATAGATTATCGACGCAAGAACAATTAGACACCCTAATCAATCAGCTTAATAATAGCAGCAGTTCAAACACTACCCCGGCAGCTCAGCACACCACCAACCCCGCATTAAACCCCGCAATTTCCCAGCCAACGTTACCCGTAACTAGTGAAACCCAACCGCCCCTCACAGCATCCGATGTGAAGATACTTATGAAATCCAACCGTAGCCCAAAAGTCGGAACACCGGATAAGTTCGATGGCTCAAAAGGCGATGCAGCGGAAACTTTTGTGAATCAAGTAGGACTGTACCTTCTAGCTAACGAGGAATCGTTCCCGAATGACAAGACGAAGATCGTATTCGCACTGTCTTACCTGACGGGGGAAGCAAACCAATGGGCGGCACCGTACTTCAAACGCCTACTACA